TCCCTTTCCGCATTTATTATCTTAATTTACCGAAAATGTTTTTTTTTCCTTATAGTTTTCATTACTATTTTTCTACAAAACAATATAAATTTATTCATTAGGATTATACTATCAAATTGTTTTACAAAAATAGGGGAACCATAGTGTCAAGTAAGGAAGAGGTAGAGAATATGGAGTGATAAGTCGTAAGCAAAAATAGAAGATTTTCACAAGAAAGTGTCATAAAGAATAACAACAGCAACAAAAGAGTTATAAACCCAAAATGTAAAAAAAAAAATCACTCAATGCAGAATATAAATAAATTTTTATGAGTCAATTATATATAAAAATAATTTCTCCAATAATTTGACTCGGATCCTTATATATATTTATAATCTTCTTGCTTTATGTTATTAAATAATGCACACACGCAAACTTTATCTCATCTTCGTAGACCACAAGCTTCTAGGAAAGAGTGACATATTCAGTGATAGATTTTAGTAGCAAATTTCATAAAATGCTTCAATGGAAGTTAGAGAGAGTCACTTGATCAAGGATACGGAGCTGGAAATTCCCAAGCTGTTCAACTTGTTGCTCTTATATTTTCTTCCTTCTCAAACATTGTATAATCGCTGCACAATAACAAAATACACGTAAATAACCTATTTAGTGACAACACAAACACATTCTTGGATTTCTTAAGATGGATACTTGTATATAAACACATGTCTAAATCAAAATTTCGTAAGCACAAGCAAGAATTGGTCGTACCGTGTTTGATCTTGTCCCGGGTGAATTCTTTTGCTCTCTCAACCTCTTTAGGAACTTTCTTCAGAAGAACACCTTCCTTCTTCTCTAGCATCTCAAGGGTCCGAGGAAGAACAACAACTATACAATCAAGAATTTACCAAAAGAAGCATTCAAAGAAAGAACAATAAAGTAATATGAATATTAATTATCTTACTCATGAGAGTGCCTAATTTCAGATGACACAATAACATCTATATTATTACAAATTTATGGTTTCGTGAAAAAAAGAGAAACCATAAGCGAAGAGAAGACACATGAGTCCCAAACAGAAAGCCCACGAAAAAGAAGCAATCCTCAAACCCTCAAACCTCAAGAATCGCATGCATTGAGACCCGAAGCTATCTCGACTCAAGCTCCAAACTGACTCAATCACATAAGGACACTCGCAGTCACCAAACCAACAGACCCCAAGAACCTCCGAAACCCTAACAGGACCCACCGACATGTCTAGAGAAAACCTCCATCGCACCCTTCCCGTATTCAAAGGATGGAGAACGACGGAAGAAAAAGCCACCTAGAACTGCCTACCGAAACCCTAGAGCCACCATACCTGCGCCGCAGACATGCCGTCAGAACCAGCGAGAAAATATAATAACAAAATTTACAAATATAGATATCTGATTATTAAATCAAAAAGAACGATGAGAATAACAAATTTTGGATTAGTTAGTGCTCACTATCTTAGTAAAGAAAAAAAAATCACATCTACAACAAAACACTGAGAACAGGGAAACATATAATACATAGAAAGCGCAAATAACAACCTAACAACACAAAAGAAAGCGAAGAAAAATCACATAAAGTTAGCTAAACCCTAGGAATAGACTCACGTTCTTGTTATATATATTTTAAAAAGTATAAAAATAGTGGTTAGGGTTTTCTTGACCTTATAATTTTGCATATGGATTACGAAACAAATGAAAACCAATTTAATACGAAGCCCAACTAATCAAAGCTACTATCACACGCGTTAAGTTCATGTCTAACGTTAATATTCACGCTGGAAATCTGATTTTCTTTTCGAGAATAATATTCTGTTAAATAATTTACAAGAACAACCACCAAACGCTTACTAGCAAATATTATTTTTTCTGGAAAATGTTGAATCTTTGCTACTAATTCGAGTTTTCGCAAGAGATGTATAATTTTTAATTAAGTCCTATCAAAAGTTGGTTCTGGACCGAATGAAATTATGAATAAAAGTTTAAAACTTCTTTGAT